TTGTGTAATCACATACGATTTCCCGAAATTACTCCGCAAAACGACCCCACGATAAGTTCTGCTTATCATGTACGTTACCCCGCTTGTACTGGTGTGATTACTTAAGGCATGTGGGGCGGGTGGCCTACTGGAGGCTTGTGCCGCTCAAAGGGATAGATATCTGACGCGCAATTGTGTCCTCTATGAGCGTGAACCAAGCCCGAATAACCTATACATCTTCACATTTGGTCCTTTTTGTAGTCATATCTGCGAAAACGGCGCGTCTTTAGATCCGATTGTCGCTTAACAAAGTTAGAAGCTCAGCGCCTGCCGACAGGAGGCGAGTCGCGGCCCGGCGAGCAGTATATTTGTCATGTCTTCCACGCCGCGAAGGCGGGGAGGAAATAATCACGTATCTATATTGAGAACATGTCGGGCAGTTGTCTTCTCCTCTAGATCAGTTCATTTTTCGAGATTTAGGTACGCAGTCGCGTCGTGCAGGGACGCGATCCCGTCGAGCACGCAAGGTCGTGTTTGACACCATAAATTGTAGCAGCGCAATACACCTTCAATTGTGGGTCATTTTGAAGCGCTTGAAGGGTAAGAACGACGTTAGCTTCGTTATTTCACTGTGGCATGTGTCTTGGCTGAGGAATGTCGCTGCTGCTCCAATTCTCACGTCGCACAGACCAGCCCATTACTGTAACGCTCTGAGAACCCCACACCGTGTCATAGCACCACATTTGGGAAGTGCATGCTTGTGATGCACCAGGCACCCTGAGGTATGCACAGAGCCACAGACGGACACTTGGAATCCATTTTGACTGATATGGCTCGCAAGTGTCTCTTGTGCAATTTCCTAACGGCATATTAAGAGCAAATCAACGGCTCTAGCCAGTCTCGGAATTGCAGTTTCAAGACTCTTGCAGGGACCACCGCGTTATATATGAGACGTCGGACACGATCATTCAACGCAGGAATATATATAAAGATGTAATTTTGGAGTTGTACTTCCAAGCGTCCCCAGGCCGAGTACAGTCTGGATGTTCCCGCGGAGACTTGATAACCTGCGATGAGGCTTGCGCACGTCCGTATTCGTCATCGTACAGAAACATGACCCGCTTCCGGCATGTCTCCCCCGCGCCACTGACGGATTCGCTTGCCTCTATGTAACATTATCTCAGCGCCGGGAACCACGACAACGACTGCAATCGACATAAACAATCCAATTGCTTAAAAGTTCGTCTTACTGAAACTTTTCAATTCTCTTATTCCATCTATAATTATGGTCCCATAGGCACACCGGAGCTGTAAAGAGCGTTTATAGAGACCCCGGATTTTGCACACACAGAGACGGTGATTGGGGGTAGGACGCACGCCACCCAACACACAAAAACACAACCAAAAGCACGTCCCCAATCTGATGTGGGGATATCGTACTGTTCAAGAACCTTGTGGCTGGGTGAGACAGGTCATAGCGGCATCAATAAATATCCAGCAGGGCCAGTGGTTGTGGAGGAGGAGGGTTTATCCGGATTTTTTGCCATCGGGGTTTTCAGTCAGGTTTTACGTTGCAGCTTTAACTTGAGAGTCTTCGTTTTACGCCTCAATTAACGATGCCATCCAGTGGCCTCTGTCACTTTTCCTGCCATCCACGAATGACTGCTTTGCCCACTGATGCATAAAGTTAGCGATGGCAAATTTTTTTTTACTTTTCTTGCCCCCTGTTTCTCCTGTAAAGAAACGGACGAAGCCGCGCCCTCGTCGCTTTGACCTCCAGTCCTCTGTATCACAGCCCCAGGGGGGCGGGGGTTGCACCCTGGCTGTCTCGAATCTAGCACGCGGGCCTATGTCTCTGGGTTAGAGGAAGGTGGACCTACCGCTCGAAAGTCTAAATTTCGCAGAAGTATTATTCTTAGGTAAAGTTGAAGTGAAACCTAAAGCACGACAACCGCGAATTGGGAAAGGCCGAACTGGTATCGCATCACAACTCGATCGGTGTCTCCCGCATGCTGTACTCTTCTGATGCCCAGTTGCGGTATAGTGGGATTCACTACCACGAGAATCCTAGTCCCAATTGAGAATAAACGATCAATAAGCTACTTTTCGATCCTTAAACTTCCCCGATATTCATTGCCAGTTTCTGTAAGCCTGCACGTCTTCTACATGGACTTGCCGGCCATATCTTCCGCTTAGAAAATCCAAAGAACACAAGAAACCCCAAGGAGCAATCCCGTCCTTGATCGCTAGTGGTAATCCGCACACACGCCTGCAGTCTCTCTCATATTGCGCACTTTAACTCGCACTTCCTCTCTTCCTCATCACCGTTTAAACGTTCTTTAATTCTACGCCCCCAATTCATCTCACCGGCGGCTTTCATTTTGGCGTTTGACCGTATACCATTCGTTTTGTTTGGCTTCCATTCGACATTTGCGCTTCGACTCGTTCCTTACCCCCCACTCCATGTTCCGTTCTTCATTGTTTAGCACTTCCCACAGCTTTATCCTGCCATTCCCGCCTCTTATTACTTCATTCCTATAAGTTATCTCTCTCGTCCCTTTTATTTTCGTTTATTTGTCTTATGTCAGCCTCCTTCCATCCCTTCCTCTCTCCCTGATCTTCCATGTAGCAAGGGGGATCAACCATCACCCCTACGCCAAGGTCGAACACCCAATGTAACCACCACAAATATCAAGGCAGCGGGCGCAAGTCCCATGAGTCTCTAATCACGAGCTCCCCTTCAACTTTCATTTCCGGATGTTGCAGCGTTAAAAAGGTCCCATCTGTGGACGTCACTTCGCCTTTCAACAGAGCTGTTCTCCCCTCTCGTGACAACAGTTACTTGGCCGCGTGCTCCCTGAGACGCTCGCACTCCCAGTCCAAAGTTATCTCCCAGTCTTCCAGCATTTTTCTCCGTCTCCTGTGTTGGCGTTTTCTACAACCCCAATCCTGGCTGCTCCTCAACTCCTCCGCTACCCCCTACAATCCACGCCAACTCCGCCGATCTCTCTTTCGTGTTCACCCCTGCAACCAATCTCTTCGGTGCCTTGGACTGCGGCGCCGCGCTCAGCCTTACAAACCCACCTGAAGACCATGCCATGTTTTCTTCTTTCGCGCTGGAAAATTTCTACGTCCATCCGGAAATTGATTCCGATGATGGCCCAGAAACGCCCTCAAGTTCTCGAAGTAGCGACTCTTATACGATATCCCCCGCAGATCACGCAAGTTTAGAAGTCTCTCACGACACCTTAAAGCCTGATACACCAGATCATGGCGAACATACCAAGGATGACATGGCTGTCTCTAGCAGGCCCTCACGCCAGGTTGACTACCTATCCCACAATTGGAGGGAGGAGGATATCTGGTCCTCGTGGCGATACATTGTGATGCGACGAGGAAAGTTGCCCAACAGCATACGATTAGAAAATACTGTTTGGAGAACGTGGGCTAAGGCCAAGAACAACCTGACAGCAATTTCCCCTGATATGCTCGATTGGTTTGTATTCCTGGGATTTAACGTGATATTTGATTGAAATATTTACATCTCCAAGGCTCAAGGACTACGATATAACCTGGCTTTATGGTCCACTGCACTCGGTACCAAATACACTTAATTCTGTCCAAACCGAGCTCTCTAAGGCACCATTGCGCAGAATTGATTCACACGTGAACCTCAATAAGAGGCCAATCCTGAAGAAGCGGAGCATGTCTGAAGAGATGCTCCAGCGATCATTATCAACAGCTTCGCTACTCAAGGCAGCTACAGCTGCTGTCAAAGCCGAGAAGACCAGAGAAATCTTGTGCCCTCATATGAGCCGTTCATCGACTGACTATCCCTATAAACCATTTTCTCAAAGACGACAGGGTGGAGAAAGCAGTAGTGCCAATACATCCACAGAGTCCTCTGGGATCACATCCCCCAACTGTGAGCGAAAGCGCACCCGTTTCAACGAACGAGTCGAACAGTGCATTGCTGTCGAAGTTAAGGGCGTCGATCACGATAATGACGAGCTGGACACTGGCCGTTACGGCGAAGGTAGTGACCCAGACGATGGCGTGATGATGAAGGGCACGAAGTCAAGGAAGTCACTGCTATTTCAACGGAAGACTTCTGGGTCAAAGCCAGCTAAAGGAGAGAAGATTGCCATGCTTCCGTGCACTACCCTCAAATACCGGGAAGACAATTCAGAACAACGAGGGATGGTTAGAAAGCACCCTCGAAGCCCTATCATATCTTATTCGTCGCAAGATATTCTTCGACCTGCTAAGGAGTCCCCAACGTTATTCATTGATGAAGAAGGGGATGATGACGACAATCTCGATGATGTACTGCTGAACCCCGGCACAGGCTGGCCGTCATCGCCCGCTGAAGATGCCAACGGCGGCTTTTCCCGGTCCCTCTTATCGGAAAGCCTATGTGAAGCGCCTGTAGGTATGCGATGGACTCCTTCTGGCATGTTCTTGCTTTACGAGGAGGGAGGAGTATCTCCGACGGACGGCATTCTTGGTCGTGTTATCAACACGGTTAACACCGCCCGTGACATTGCTCATGTTATCTGGAGCGTCGGCTGGAGGAAATAATGAGAACTTACCCCTTAGATTTTGCTGACTTTGTTGAAATACCGAACCCATGTCACACTTTATGATATTCGTCTTTATCAGCGACGCACTTCGGATTCCAATAAGTTTTCAGGCTTCACCATCTCACTCACACAGTGAGTGGGTTCAATGCCATGAGGTGCATCATAAAAAACGCGCATGACCATATTCAGGCGTCTCCCAAGGTTAATGGCAACAGCCTCATTCAGACTACAGCAACACGCTTTGTACATCATCCGAGCGACTATGGTATGGCATATGCTGAAGTTGTGAGGAACGAGTTGTGGTTTAGTTATAGTAGAGGGTTATATTCTGGACAACGAAGAAGATATAGAGGAAGCCCAGGCAGCAGTAGTAGATAGCCTGGAAGTTTCAAAGAAGAATATGTCAAACGCCGGACTATTTAGTCTGTAATGGAGAGTTGCTTCGACATGGCAATCAGAAATTCTCGTTGAGTGATACCGAAATCGATATCACTAGCTAACGCCCTGTCACTGTAGGGTTCGAAAACCGAACTTTGGCCATTGCAGTGTTGGTATGCGAAGCCCCACCTTCTGAGACGTCAAGAAGTAGCCGCTCGAAGGCTATCAACACCTAGGTGAAGCTGCTGAGTTTTTGCCGTTAGACCTTGCCAGCCGTTTCTAGAATGCCCCATCTCCTGGGCTGGTGATGTGTGAGTAATAGCTAAGCGACAAGGTCGTGATACATAGCATTTACACTTGCGCATTCTCTTAAACAACCTCTATCGGATCTCAGTTATTGGAGCTTGTAGAAATTATGCTAAAATAAGCAAGACATAATTTATCCACAAACTACTTTGCTTAACAAAGCGTCGAAACTAGCTAGAGCTAGCCTAAATTTTATCAAGTAGAGAACCTGGAAACGTCAGTTATGACAACTCTCCACCTAAGTGAAGATTTTTGCCGGAGACTTGCTGCCTGTGCCGCTATGATGCTTACGCTGCAGATCTTTGATCTCTGCCTTAAGAATTTTAGTTGTATTCCTCTCTTCCTCTAGTATTCCTCGGGTTAATGTTAACCTAAGACGATTATCTCTAGTAAGGTGTTCAAAGCCTTCTTGCAGTGAGCTTTTCTTCGCTTTTTTCCACAACTCGGCTGTCGTGGTTGTAAATTGAAACTGTCTACTAATCACCTCGTCCTGAAGTGAACCAACGTCTGGGACCGAAAGATAAAGTATTTTCCTTTATCATAGGGAGTATGTATTATCGCATTATAACCATGGCCTCCGTAGTTCAGTATGGTTTATAAGAGGCTTGGATAAGTGGCTTGAGGAAACTGATTTTTTGCAAATGCAGGATAACTTGACCCTCATGTACATTGATATGGATAATAATCCAGTTATGATCCGAAAATCAAAAGACATCTCTCTAATTACTGATTTTTCAAAACACCACAACTGTCGCGTTATGTCTTTCTTATGTATCATACGCGGAAGAACTTATAACTACGCTTTGGTTTATTTACCGAGCCTGATTTGGCTACATTTGGACTTGAAAAAGCTCAATATATTCTACCTTCTCCCTAGCATAACTCTGTCCTTGTCAAGCTCTTTGCGGTTAGCTTCAAATAGAGCATACCAATATATAATATCGGGTGTGATGACGGCTTTAGCGTGGTTGACCATCCGATCGAATGCGATATGTATGAACCCAAGTCGACGAAGCCACGGGACTGGCGTAGGAAAGCTGTTCCTCGCGTCGATACGTCCTGCTTCTCGACTCAGAATACCTCTGTCATAGAGTTGGCACGCGGAGAGCGCTGATAGTGGCACTATTGTGAGATGTACCTCCTATTGTTAGCCCTTGAGGCGGTATGCGGACGGAGTGGAGGTATTTCGGCTTTTAGTGCAATCTTCTCCGCATCTTCGACGAGTCCAATGACATATTGTAAACTTTTGATTCCTTCTCTACTTTGGTCGATGACTTGACTTCTTGAGCTGACGCTGTCGGGGAGGACGATGAGGTCCGCATAGAAGGCCAGTTTGAACAGTGCGTCGATGCCGGCGCCTTCTCGCATTCTGATAACCGACAGGAATCAGAGCAATAGGTTTCTCCCTCGGTCTGGGTGCCGCAAGAGAGGCATGGATCATACAACCATTCTTGGCCTGACGGCATATTGAAGACTGTCGGAAAGTCTGGCGTTGTTGGGGAGTCGGAGAGTGACGGCACGGCTGACACACTTTTGTAATACAGAGGTCGAAGCTTTGTGAAGCAGAAGTTGCTCTATCTAGCCACTAGTTCAAAAGTTAATATGCAACAATCGCCTCTTGGGTCGCCTCCCCACCATCTCTCTAACATAAAGACTATGTTCTACAAATGTGTCTGGTATAATTGAATCCTCCCCATCTACTTCCCAATGTTAATCATCATATCCTCACTAATTTGTTTCCACTGACTGACCAACTTCGAGATACAGAATCTCGTCTAAGCGCAGTAGCTGGCCCCATTAAGAATAGCAAAGCGCTACGCAAACCATTTCTTGAAAATACAAATCGGCAGTTTAGCGCAATAATGCACTTTGCTATCGCTTAACAGTGGCCAAATACCGGCAGGCGGCTAACCAAGAATCTAACAGACAAATAGGTAAGATCTACCGACATATCCTAACAGCCTTTAGGATCATGAGACTTAGTGACCTGCGCTGCCGTCAGGTTAGCAAGGTATGTTCTGGTATTACACCTTGTTTTGTCAGTATGTCGACACACTCCTAACCGCGGATGAGTCCAGCATGAGGTTAATGGCCATAGATGGGGGGGGGGGGGGGGTTTACCTCAGCATCCTGCATGACTTCGTACCGAGTCCAAAGCGAGAATCAATGCATAGAATGGAAATTAGTTCGCCCCTAAGTGGGTCTAGACCCAAGGCACAGTGTGGTAATTAAGCGATTCACAGTCCGGACGATTTGGTCCTGGTACTCAGAGCCCCACAGCTTCATACAACGAACGGTTTAGCCAGTTTTGACCCTCCAAGTGTTTGGAGTTTTATCTTGCATAGCTAACCATCTTAGGCTAATCCTCTCTTGCCTGCTTTCAAGTAATTCATGTGGAGGAATCTGAAGGTCCCCACAATATAAGATATTCATGAACAGCGATAAGATCAGTCTTTCCACGTACTGATAGTGCGACCGGCCCTTCAGCGATTTAGAAAAGGATGGTTTTCGCACGTTTCTGCTGATCGGGCAACTCTCTGTGCACTGGTGAGGTCCGAAGAAAGGTGAGCTTGATCTTTAGCCACCGACCAGAGCTGTTTCCGGACCATCACCGACAACCCATCCTCTCCAGGATCTTTCTACGGTTTGGCTGCCATCGAGTTCTGTTCCACATCTCCGTTTGCAACCCCCTGGCGTGTGGCTACTAGAAAGCATCGCCCCAGCTCCATATTCATAGGGGTACGAGACGTTACAAAGCAACTCCATCTTAACCAGAATCGTAAATTGCTCTTCACGTGGTTTCTTACGCCGCATTTTTAATATTGAGGGACAGAGGTAGCGACTAGCGTCAAAAATGCAGATATGTGTTCCAAGCAACCTCATCCGTTTGGTGTTCTCGCAGTCCCTCGTAGATGGATAGCCCTGGTCCATATTCAATGAAGGATAACGGTGGAACTGGCTGAGTAAAGACCATCGAATCAGGGGGCATAGTAGCCGTTTGAAATGGTCCTAAACACATCATATCGAACTTGACGCCTGTAACCTCCGAGGTGCCAGATTCCTGCTGAGAAGAGATTCTCGGGGTTGACAGGAAACGACCTCCATTTAGACTCTGCGTATTCAACTCTTCGGCGGTGCTAGCACCACTTGGGCTTCCATCGCAGGGGCTTAGCGAATTGCCATAGGTATCGAATGCAGTAGAGCAAGCGACTAGCCTATCCACACACTTCTGCGCCTTACTCGCGATGTAGTTCTGGATGAGAACACAATTGCATTCTGTATGCCGCAGTAATTGGGTCTTTAGGTGGTAAACTTCGACGGTTAGAGAGTCGAAACACGTCACGAGATAGCGGTTCTGGTCCTCCATAGCTTCTTTTCGAGAAGCGAGGGCTAAGGCTTCATCACGCTTGCGGAGACGACACTTATTCGCCGCAATGCGATTACGTTCGAGCACCCGACGCCGGCGGGGATCCTTGGGGAGATCATCATCATCAAGCTCCTCCTGTTGACCCGCTACCTTCTGCTCTTTTGGCTGCTTCTTGGGTTTTCGGCCCCTTTTCTTTGGCTTGGGTGACTCTGCAGCCTGCCCAACGGCACTGGACTCGTAAAGCGCCTCGTTTGCTTGTAACTGTCTTCGGGTGTGGACCCGCCGGTTCAACATCTTGTCTTCCGTAACGGATGGCAGTATATTTTGCAGTGCTTCGCTATCTCCGCTGTTCTTGAATTCCGCGGGCTGAGTCGATAATGCAATGTAGATGGACTCGACACCCACTTCCATCGGGACTGGGGAGGCATTAATTGTTTCCTTAAAGAATGAGTTGGTGCCTATTTGACTTGGCGTCGGCTGATATGTTATATGGTTTCGAAACATCGGGGAAGCGGTATTCATTATGCAGGATGGTGGGATTATTAGTACGGTGTGGTGGCGATAACTTCTGAGTGAGAATCGAAGGCAAGATCTCCCAGTAGTGAAGAAAAGGGCTATATGAAGATTATATAAAATGATCTAGGTCCGTGGATTATAATTGCCAGCCCCTTTAATAAGCTGCGATGAGAGGTCTTCAAATGCCTAGGTTGACACCATGGATATGGCAGAAGAGAGAATTCAAGGAAAATTGCCCAAGTAGGCGGGCCAAATGACATAAGTAGGGCACGGGAGGATCGAGGAGGATGCAAGGATTAAATATGGCAGCTTTCACAAGCAACAGACCGGACTACGGTACCGGGCACAGTGCGCAAAAGCTTATTTGTGTTGAACAGGTGCTGGGGTCTCACGTGCAAACAGGGATACTTTAAGATTACAACCGAAATGGTAAAACCTCTAAGGGGTAGATTTCAACAGAACACAACATGAATACATCAATTTCACATCAATGAACTGAATACACGTAATGTCTGACAATTTGTACCTACTGAGGAACACAGCATCAGCAGACACTAAGCTTAGAACAACCAGGCCATGAGCAGAAAACGGACTCTGCCATGGGAAGGGGATATTCAAACGCCCATTTTTGGAACCCGAGGAGATCAAAAAGCCTTTTGTTTAAGGAGATGACGTATGCGGCTATTAGCCAATCTGCCAAAGGTTTCGGAGCCCGGCCATTAGTCGCCATCCATGTCGTTGAGCCTCGGGGACCAGTCAATCTCACTGGGGCAATAAAACACAGCGTCATGCATGCAGAAATTCTTGACTTGCTTGAAGCTCTTGGGAGTTCTGATATGCAGTGGCCTGAATGGACACCAACGAGGTTGCGACGGTGGGGGATGGGTGAGCGGTTTACGGTATGCGCAGACATGTGATTGTGCTTGGACTTTTGTGGGCGAGGGCTCTGCATAGAGGATAATCGGACACACCAGCTCACCGGAAGGCGCCGAGTAAGGGGCCAGATGAAGATATGGCCGGGAGCATTTTGTCCGTAGTTCTCATCCCCCGTGTAATGCGGGGAATTGGAGGGGTACCACGTTCTCTTAATGAGAACTAGCGCCAGGTTCCTCGCCTCTAAGTTTCAGCCATCTGCATCATATTTTCACTCGATCTCCTGACACAACATAAACTCTGTGTTGGAGCCATGGAGAGCGTCGGACGTCTGCTATGTGGTAGTTGATGATCGGTGGGTGCTCTTGCCGGTAGCTCTTGAGGCTCCACAGACACTGTGGATCATCAATTTGTCGGCTTCAATCGGAGGCGGCATAGCGCATAAGATCGCGCCGCGGATAACTCAAAGTCTTCCCAAGCTAGTTGTGCGTTTCTTGATGAAATCTGTTTTGACTGGTGGTCACTGCATATGCAACCCTTTGGCACCGACATCATAAGTGCGTTTTCTAAATGTTGAATCCCGGCGCGGACGAACCGTCGTATTGCAATTAATAAACAGTGGGAACGAGAGGTTTGGGACCAGCAGCCACAAAAGAACTCAATGAGCTTTAACCGTTTATTGCATCTACCCCCGCGTTGTTTTGAGTCGACGGAGCACGCCACGAACACCACGCGTCCACTAACAACAGCAATAACATCTGAGCAGCAGTATAACCCACGGGAGTCTGACGGCGGAGCCCAAATCTTCGAGTGTCGCCAAAACTTTCCACTTTTACTGGCGTAGTGAATTCTTTTGCGTCATCGTCATTCTCCGGTCCCGCCCCAAATCCAGCGCCTAGACGCTGTTCAATGCGCGCCGCGCTGCACATTGCTCACTAAAGTGGAGAGAAGACATTGCAAGTCAAACTACAGCTGTCAATTAGGCAAGCTATGCGTCTCTGACCTGCTATACCGAGTACAGCTTATCCCTTTGAGTGCCACAGCCCTTCAGTAGATATCTCGACCCACTTGACCCCACGTACAAGAAGGTGACAAAAGCTCCACCGCAAGCGCAGTTGAAAGGGCTGTCTTCGCCTGTAACTTGGCTACCTCTTTGGCGGTATAGCCATCTAATTCAGCAATTTCAATTGGCTGACAACCTTCTATAGCGGCTTGAGTACAAGTTGACCTGTAGCGGCTGATTTACTTACTTTCATTCGTTATATATCCCTGTTGTGACGCTCCTGAAGGCTGTGGCACTCAAAGAGATAGGTCATGGTAAGGTGGCTCGAAACTCTCGGACCGATCTACAACGGTACCGCAGGATAAGTCCCTGATATCCGGGAGTGGTTAACATGTGAATATGACTGATTGCCAAGATAAAGAGGGGCTTTTCACTGTAAAATGGCACCTTGCAGAGAGTGCCATTCATGATGTCACTCTATCGCTTTCATGGCGTAGCTACCCCTGTCTCTTCTTCAATCTCGATTGCTATGGGCCATTATTGGCACGGCGCCACGCCCAATTTGTTGGGATCTCAACCTTCCTTTTCTCGTCAACGGTCGCACACACTGGAGCTGCCCTCGACATCAGGGGCGAATTCTAACAACCCATGAAACCGGAGCTTTCGTTACACCTCAAAACGAGCAGCCTAGATATACCCATGTATGACGTGCGGTGTATAGGAGGCAACTCTATGAACCATCTATCCAGATGACCGCTCTACCCTCCTCAGAAGGGAGCAGCTACTTTATTTTATCGGAAATGGAAGAATGCCATTCACCCTTGCAACTGGCGGCCAGGACAACGTCTTCTCAGCCTGGAGCAGACTCAACGAGCGACACATGCTATCAGTCTCTTGATTATCCAGACACAGCAGTCTCTTCGGCTTCCTCGCCGCCTCCAATCTACGGCGAATCAATGGATATGTCCTGTTCCTCGACACCATTTAGGGATATTTCCGCCCCATCCGATTATAATGACGGAATTCATCTGGTCAAGCCGTCAGCAGAGCACGCATGGTTACCCCAATTTCAGAAAGACGGTGTCTTTGTAGCACCGGACGATAGCCTGGAACGCCGGCCGGATCTCAAGGCGGACGACTCGTATTACGCCTCGTGTGTTGACAATGATAATCCGGCTGATACGTCAACACGGCGTTCTCCAGAATTAGGAAAGTCCCACAAGCGCGCTGAAGTTGACACTACTATTAACGCCCAGACGTGGAGGAATGTCGACTACCTTTCCCATGACTGGAAGGAGGAAGAAATCCTGTCATCATGGAAATACATTACCACTCGCCGAGGCGAGGACCCCAATAGGGCCCGTTTGAAGAATGCATGCTGGAGAACATGGACAAAATACAAAAACAACCTGAAGACTATGCCTCCCGAAACTCTCAACTGGTAATGACATGACGGAATTAGGCAAGAGTATCAAGCTAACTTCGTGCAGGCTGAAAGATAGTGATACGAGTTGGCTATATGGGCCCGTTCAACAAGGTGCTAGCAAGATCTACTGTATGCAGACTGGACCTTCCAGTGCCTCATTGCTCCAGCCCAACTCACTAGTCAACACTAACAGGAAGACTATCTTGAAGAAAAGGAGCATATCAGATATCATACTGCAGAGGCCATTGTCAACATCATCCTTACCCGAGAAGCCAGCCCCAGTGGCCCAGGTGAGGCAGAAAGACAGCCGGCGACTAAGAGAGCTTTCCTTTGATAGTTTAGAGACGATGGATTATAATATATTCCCCTTCCCTTCAATGCTAATGAGCCGTGATACCTCTAGTATGCTGCCATTGTCAGCATACACTGGGATCTCATCTTCAGGTGTTGAGCGCAAACACATCCACTTCAATTATAAAGTCGAGCAATTTATCGCCGTCGAAGTTAAAGACGACGACGATGGCGACGACTGCGATATCAGTACCGATACCAATTCCGAAGACGGAATCATAATGAAGCTGGACAGGTCGGGAAAGACGGCGAAGGAGGGCAATTCATTACTCTAATGGAAAGACGATCGCGATGCTTCCATCAACAACACTAAAACATCGAGAACATATACAATTCCCAGAAACGGTCATACACTACACCTCTAGCGCCTTACATAGCCATCGTGTTTCGCCATTGTCACCACAAGAGGCATCTCGTCCACCTAAAGCGTCAGGTAGATTCTCCGAGGATTTAATTGATGACGATACAAACTTAGGCTGGTACACATCTGGGACTTTCGCAGTACATGATACGCATCACATTACTCCTACAGTCAGCTTGACCGCCGAGCCAGCTGGCATGCGTCGCACTCCGTCTGGCATGTTTATGCCCTATGAGGAGGCGGTCACATGTTCAAATAAAGGGATGTTTTGTCGCGTTATTGACACCGTTAAAACAGCCAGGGACATGGCCTATGTTATTTGGAATAGTGGCTGGAGATGAAGCTTTGGAACGATGGAGACATTTTTACCTCTTGAAATGACGACTCTCTTTCCTTCCTTGCCAGTCCATCTCTATTGTGAGCGTAGCTGCCGGCATGCCAGTGCTAAACCACTAGGGCATCGTAATGTATATCCCTGTGGGAGCACTGAGCTGCCCGCGTAAGTCTAGCCGTCCCCGTTTGGCGCTGTTGCCGGCCGTGTCACCCTCGCTCCGTCCTAGCAAACCGGCAGGTTGACAGTAGTTAACACATGTGCTTAAAGAACGTTGAAATCAAAGACAGGGATCGCTTTGTAGAGATTGAACGTGATTATCCATAGACAAAGCACTGTGTCCCCTAGCTGTCAGTTTATATAAGATTACCCCCACATATGTGACATATCCTAGTTGAATGATAGAGCAAACTCCCGCAATCGTGTGTTATTTTGAATGAAGGCCACGGGTCGCATATCCTTCTTACATATAAATCGAACCATAATTAGGTCAATAACGCCCATCATAAACCCGGTTCCGTCAAAGTTAATAAATATCGACATCATCGATGCCATACTTTGCCCTCAACTTTCGCACAAGCTCGAACCAAGCCGAAGTTTACCGGGATCTTCGCATCAGGCTATTTGGTAATCCTAAATGCTATAAATACGGGATTGAAGCAGCGGTTCTCGTTTGACAAAGTATCTAGCCCATAGCTTTCCAACTTTCTCTCTAGCACGCTCTCCGAGCAGCAGATTGGCCATATCTTCCACGCCAGCAAGCTTTGGCGGGAAGCCTTACGAATACAGATCTATATGTTCAAAGACGGCCTCTTCTTCCAGGTTAGTAAGTTTGCGAGAGTTGGGCATGATATCGTGTCGCGACGGACGGCCTTTTATTCTGGCGCGTAGTGTTAATTCAGGCACAGTATGGATTTTTTTTTACCACCCGAGTCATGGAGGTGTTGCCTTACGCCAGTCAGAGGGATAAGCAGATAGGGAGGTGTTGCACCACCTCAACGGGCCTAAGGGAGTGGACCAAAGAAGAGATTTTGGCTTATTT